ATTTTGTATGTATTTGAACGTTTTAGCGCAGTTAGCCACTCATTTTGGTATTTGTGGCTCACAAGCTGTTTAAGACTGAGCGCGGCTTGTGCACTCCACTAATACAGATCAGTGGTGGTGCGCGCGCGCGTTTGGTATAAGCGCGAAACCTGCGGGAATGACTAAAATAATGCGCAATACAAGCACTATTTAACCGGAGCGAATGAGACGTGTGTGTGAGAGAGAAGGGGGCGTCGGAGAGAAGAGAGCGAGAATGCGCGGCTGACGTTATTGCCTGTGCCGCTGGTAACGAAACGGATCGGCTCGGAATCGGAAAGAAGTGAGACTGACCGGCCGGTCACCAATCATGAGGAAAATCGGCCGATTCCAATCCATGGCCGATCGATCGGTGCATCTCTAATATTCTAGGGGTTTGTAAAAAAGGACTTTTGATTCCCCTGGACTCCTCAGTAACATACGCACGTCACTTTGTGGGCCGGATGACAAATTCGGCACATAAAAGTTAACAAATTATATACATAAATGCCTTCAAAGGGGATCGCCATTAGCTAAACATGCTTTTACAACTGGATGACGCACAAAAATGACGCACAAATGGGTCACAAACATTCCTATCAGCCCATGTAAACATACTACTCGATGTGACGCTCCAAAAATACAAACACAGCAACTAAAAGTCTTAAAAAAAGGGATGACTACATTGTTATTCCACCTTAGACAGAGGGTAGAAGACAGTGGATCGCATTCTTGAATCGAGGCATGTGGTATTTGACGGTATCAGCCCACCTGAGGTCATGAATATGCTAAGAAAACACAGACTGACATGATTTAGTAACAAGTCTGCCTAGCAACACTGAAATTCCCTGTACAATTAACAGGGGGCATATTTTAAATTTATGAATTTATGCCAAGAGAGTTAATAAATAATACAAAAGAGCCAAGAGCTAAATTATTTAAAACTAATCAATTGTTATTTTTATTTTTTTTTGCCCACCAGTGCTTTAATTTTCGAAATTGCTTGGCTGGTGGTTTATTAAGATTTATGCAAATTATGACAAAAAGTGTTGTCAAACAAACGTGGATGAATCTCAAAGCACTCAAACAAGCACCAAAGGTTAACTGCATCTCGACTTTAGAGCCTCAGTAAAAGAGCTAATAATAGCAAATAAGTTAACTTGGAGATCTGGATGCAGACTGCAGTTGGTTAGATGGCTCTAATAGAACTGAGCACAGTCATTTAGCTCTACCGCAGCTGTACACAGCTTAATACTGACAATGTGAATTAAGGGAGAGCCAATTACACTTTCCTGCTTTGGCTCAGTCACATGGGATCCTACTGCTGGCTGGTTAGTGCAGTTTAACACACTCCCCAAAATAACTGTCTCCATGCCAGGTACCTACAGGCATTAGCAAATTCAGCAGAGATAACGTAGTGCACACACCAGCGTCAGTGAGAGACGCTACTAACGTAACTGTATTTGTTACATTACACAGTAGCTCAGCGGATTCCATATATATCATATTTATGGTATAAATTGTCTAATAAATATATATGCCATTTCTTAGGATATTTATACTTAATACTAATTACATGCATAAAAATGTACAATGTTGAAATAAGATTTATTTTTATTTCAAATAAATGCTGTTCTTTTGAACTTTATATTCATCAAATAATCCTGACAAAATGTATCATGGTTTCCACAAAAAATATTGCTTAAATTCAGCTAAAATTCTAATAAAAATATTAAAGATAAAAAAATTTGTTTAAATTATTGTAATAATATATAATATTTCACAATTTTACATAAAAGAAATACAGAAATTACAGAAATATATATATATCTTACATAAATGTAGTTAGTTACACTACAAGCTAATACAGAACATATATAACTACTTTTTTTTTGTTAAGTGCAGCTTGACTGTAGTTGAACTACCTTAAATTATGAATAGCTAGTGTCCCCAACGCTGGCACAAAGTAACTAAATGTAAACCTAGTCTCTAATAAGGGAGAAAGTGGACTAAAGATGTGAGAAGAAAGCTGAGAGGCACATGAGAGGAGGGAGAATCGAAAATCCCGAAGGCGAAACTCCTTCGTTGAAGACTCCTCTCTGTCCCCCAAGGCATCAGGAGAAGAGCAGACATTTCTCCATGTTCCCCACAGTTTCTGTCTGTGGGGTCTGAGACTAAAATGACAATTTCACAGTAAACAGCATTTTACATCATTCAATGCTTTTTGGATTGCAACAGTCAGAGGACTTGGACTGGAAGGCTATCCACACATCAGCAAAGTATGCATAATTAACACTGCTTTGCATAATTAACTGCCGTGCTATCAGGTAATTAATAGACAGTAATAAGGCCACAGAGCCTGAAGCTTCCTGTGGTGATAACAGGAGCCCAGAGCAGTGACTAGATAACTTTCCATAGTTAGATTAGTGAGACAAAGAACTGAAGGTCATGGAAAATGGCAACAGTCACCATTTCTGCAGTGCTTGAATAAATATTATTTCACAAAATGCCTTTTCTTCCTTCTCAGATACAAAAAGAGAACTGTGGAAAATACAGCAAATATATATATAACTTAAACTAAAATTTTAATTAAAATAAATCAAAATATTAATATATAGTTGTAAATAAATACTTAATTATCGCCACTCAGAATTTCGTCATAGTCTGACAAGCTCTGGTTAAGCATGGATCTAAAAGCCAAAAATCTAACTGTGACATTCATATTTATTCTATACATCACTGAAACACTATTTTCCTATAATGAAAGCCTAACTGAATAGAATCCAACTTGTTGCAATGGATACAAACAATCCTTTCAAAAGCTTCCTTGCCTCAAACACAGTGTGGGGTTAACAGAATGACCTTACTATTGTGATACACTGTAGAAGAGAGAACGGCTCAATATGCAACAGTTCAGGACTCAGCGATCAGCCATCTCTCAAAGAGACAAGCAGAGTCCGGTCCACAAAACAAAGCATCATCTGTTTCTAATAAGGAAAACAACCTCAGCAATGAACTGCCCTGCCCAGTGTGGGGAATAACCCCCCGCTGTGACCGTGCCAGAGTCTCAGACAGCAGAGGAAAAAGGCCGAAAGTGACACGTGTGTGCACTAGGGCTGCAACAACTAATCGATCAAATCGATTATTATCGTTTATGAAAATCATCGACAACGATTCTCATTATCGATTAATCGGGTCTGCCCACAGTGCACGTCCAACGGAGTTTACATACTTGTCCAACTTCAGCCGGTCGCGTCAAATTAAAGCATTGAATTACTTATTTCTATGGACAAAATGCATCTAAAATAGTGGAGGAAACAGAATGAGATGCTGCAGGAGAGTTACGTGATCCAAGCTAACTTACCCAAAACATGAGAATATATGTGTAAGCTCTTTAGTAACAGTAGTAGGCTGTTTCTAATGCTTTAATATAACTATTGCTGTTATCTATGAAAGAACGGCAGAGAGCTTCACAGTGTTTTTTTTTTCCAGATACCCAATTACAGTCAAAAAGTATTTAAACAATGCCAGCAAGAACGCAAGCTATGAAGGGCATAGGAGGCCATTTTTGTTATGTGAATAAATAAAAGTATTTAGTTATAAATAAATGACAATAAGAATTTTTTGATTTAAACAATTTTTTGACAGATTCCTAAAATGTGTTTTCTCTTTATTATGGCAGGTGGTCTAATAAATTGTTAAGCACTATATGTTTTCATAGCATTCAGTTGGAACATTGTTTTAAGGACATTGGGCAGAATGTGGAATAGTGTGTTTTTGTCAATAAAATAAAAAAAGAAAATTGTTTGTTTTTAATCCGATTAATCGAAAAAATAATCGACCAACTAATCGATTATCGAAATAATCGTTAGTTGTAGCCCTAGTGTGCACACATGCACACACAACCACTGCAGACAAATGGATTTCATGCAGAGTGTTATACACAAGCCAAGGCACCTCCTCCTAAACCGCGCAAACAGAGGTAACCCAGACTCTCACTCTCATAAACAACATACATGCCAACAAAACCCCTGTGAGCAGGCCCCGTTTTCTAAATTACACTTAATTGAGCACAATAGGCTGAGTCTGGCTCCAAATGTGACCTCACAAACTGGGCAGAGAACAGAACACAATTAGGTTTTGCAGAGCTCACCAGTGAAAGACCATTTACTAATTAGTCTGTTTTTAATAGATTTAAATATAGTGTCTGACACAGAATTAAAACACAAAGTGTAGATTTTGCAATCTGCAGCATCAGCGATCTTACAGTAAAGCAATAAGCCATGTGCGTTACAGTGTTTTAACCAGGGCTATGGGCTGATGTTACTGTGGTGCAAAATCACTGATGCACATCCTGGAACTTTTCAAATGGTGGGAATAGTAATATGATAAATAATATGATAATTAATCATTTTGAACTAACAGTAATATGACACCAAAATACTACTACAACAACAACAACAATAATAATAATTATTATTATTATTATTTTATTTACTTTAATTAATACATTATTTATTTGAAAAAAATTCTAACCATTAAAATGGTTAAACAAATATAATGATAATAACAATAATGTTGCACTTTTATTTTTTTAATACATAATTTATTTGAACATGATTCAACCAAGAATCATTATTATAATAACAACAACAATAATAATAATAATTATTATTTTTTATTTATATATGTGTTTAACCATTTTAATGCTTTCTAGAAATGTGGCACTTTTATTTAGTTAACTCTAATATTTTTAATTTTAATAAACTTTTAATTTACGGCGTTGAACATAATTATTCATTTTTAATACATGATTCAGCAAAATTTCCTAAAAGAGTTCCAAAATGATTCTTCATATGATTCTTCAGAAGTATCCTGAGCATCACTATTGTAGTGCCGTGTAAAAGTGCTTAAACACAGAACCCAGTTCACACAATTCACACGTCATTAAGCTTCGCACGCTGGTGTGAAAACAGCATTCTCACCTGCATCCTGAGAGTTCAGCACCTCCAGGGCATGCATCATGGCACTGGCAAATACATTGGCATCCTCTTTGCTGCCAAAGTTAAGGCCGTACACCTGCCGTGCATCTCGCCACTGGTGAAACGTTTGTGTGGCCTGGTTGTATTTCAGCCCCTTGGGAATGGCACAGTTTATTACCACCTGTTGACAGAAGAGAACAGCATATTAATATTCAAATCAATGCTTGAAAATCATATATTTTACAAAAGGCTGTAAAGCACTACATATCCTCACACAAGACAAAGCAGAGTAGTCCATAAAACTCCACATGGTCTCAGGGGAACAATGTGACTAGTGGTCGAACGATATTGATTTTTTTGACAGCCGATACCGATGCCGATATCTTGGAAAGCAGGGTGGCCGATATAAAGCCGATATAATTTTATGTATTTTAATTAATTACTAAGTTTGCAAGGTTTTTGAAATTAGATGTTCATTAGACAGTCAAAGATTTGTTTAAATTATATAAATGCGTATTTGCTGAATGCTGACGGCAAACAAGAAAGTATTATAATGTTTGCCTTTCTATTACTAATAATATAAAAGCAGTCGTTATAAGACTTTTTGTATACATTTTAATTCCTTTGTTTAACCGTTCTATCTGATTATTAGACAGACTTCTATCCGTATTTAGACAGAACTGTTAACCACAACAGCGAACAAGAGGGAGAATGTGAGCACTGTGTGCCCAGGCGCTGCCGTTCTCAACGCCATCAAAATAAAAGTCCGTCGCGCCGTCAAAATAAAAGTCCCGCCTCGAACGCATCGGCCAAACAGGAAAACTTATCGGCCAATGCCGATATTTAAAAAATGCCAAATATCGGCCGTGGCGATATATCGGTCGACCACTAAATGTGACATTGCATACAAATTGCTGCAGCTTCCATGTGAAGCATTAAAACAAATGTTTTTAAAGCCTCATCTGTACTGAAGAAAATAAAACCCATGTTAAGCATGGGCAACATATTCCATTTTTTGCAAAACCATAAGCACAGCCACTTTTTTCCTCAAGAGAGCAAACTGATAAAACTCAAGGCTTCAAAAGTTTCAAGTAAAAAATTCTCACTAAACCACCTCTCTACACAAAGGAGAAGCCTCTGCATTACTAAAAGATGACTGATAACACCAGAGCCGATCCTAGACTTCTGGGGGTCCTACGTAAAACTATGTCGGTGGG